TGTGATGCTCTGGTTCAGCTCCAAGCTTTGTGACAGTAGATAATACCCAGCAGATGAACGTTCATCCCAGTCCGCTTGCTCTGCCATTTCCTTTGGCCTTGGCTCCATTCCAATCATGAGCTTCAAGAGGCCAATTTGTCGAAAGTAGAGCTGCATCTTCCATGCCCAATCATCATAGCCATCTCCAGAGAACTTCTCAATGGTGAAGTTCTTCAGCACCTCCTTAAGCAGTGACCCCTGGCTTGTACGCTCCCCTTTGCGCTGCAATGCCAGAATCTTGGGTTGAGCTGCCTCCTTGGACTGAAGTATCACCTCCACCAGAGTCCTCTTTATCTCCCATCGTATTTTAGGTCCCAAATGCGTGATAATAGGCTCTGATACCACTTGTTGGTTAGAGAAGCTATAAGCAGAAATTCAATGGCTCCTTGGAAATTTCTGCAGCACTTCGTTATGACGCCCAGAAAACTCGCGACCTTCGAATAGCTATATCCAAAACTCCAATCGGTGAAACGATCTGAAAATCGGATATGTTGTAGCTTGCAGCGTCAGATTTTCACTGAAAGTTGAATCACTTGATTCCGTAGCTTAACGAGTGAGCTGTGGCGTTTGGCGCACTGGGGGGTAATCTGCTCTAGGAGAAGTTGACAGTCCTCAGAGTCACTATAATTGAAGCTTACAAGTTCAAAGGCATGATGGAAAAGGCATTCAAGCACAGTTGGAAGGTGGGGATGGAAGGGAAGGATGAAAGGGAAGGACCCTGGAGGCCCATGGTCAAGAACATGACAAGAGTCAAAGTCTTGACTCCCCATCCTCAGGTTCAACCAGCCTGGCAAGACAAAATTCACACTGTGCCAAGTTGGCCTCCAACCCCCAAATGCTGCAGCTGCAGGGTGAGGACAAAAGTCCCACACATGCTGGTCCCTCCTCGTTATAGGGCTCTCCAACTTTGGTCTAGCAGGTGCCAAGGACTTCCAATGAGTTGTAACAAATCCATCAAACACTTCTTCGTAACTTCTTCATATGTGCTCCGATTCCAACAATTCTTGGCTCGTTGAAATGTGCTCGATGTCGTGCACAATCCAAGCACATCTGCACAAGCACAAGATGAACATGCAAAGACATGCAAACCCGACAAACCACACAAACAACGTAGCACACAAAACACATGCAACAAAATGATGCGAACAGACGACAGGATGACGTGCAAACGAATATGGACCAACATCAACTTCTTTACACTAAAATTACACCAATATGCAATGCACTAAAATCCAGGATAATAAGATACAATTTTTTACACTCTCCCCCTCGTAGGTATGGTCTTGGCTAAGACCGCCGATGTCGCACACATTGCGTGACTGGAGGTTGACTCGTAACACCAGGTAATTCTCGATCTCTGCCAGGAGCACCCAATTGTTTTCTAGGGACGTCCGGTCCTTCTAGGATACCAGAAAATCGATCAGGCGAGCTCCTCAAGGGTCTTTGATACGATGGCTGAGAATCTTCGCAGGGCGTTACTATATTCGGATTTGTTTGGTGACGAGCAAACTTACCGTGCTGGCGATGTAGGGTCGCAGCAGGCGCACGTGAAATGACCGACTTACATTCCAGGTGGCGGGCAACAGTAGGTGGGATGTAACGGATGATATCATGTGGTTGATTGTAAAGGGTCCACGGTAGCGGGGCGGAGCTTTGAGTATCGAGCAACACTAGCTTAGGTTACAGCTCGGCGGTATAAATATGCGCTGCGCTTAGAAAGAACATTCGCATGCTTAATGGCTTCGGCTGCTCGCTCACGGCAATGTATAATAGTTCCGGAAATTGTTGGGCTCGGGGTACAGGATCTCGACGTTGAGGGGTAATGGGTACAGTAGAGTATTGTCTGTAGTTCAGATAAAAATGGGGACTGTTGGTTGGTGGCTGATGGGGCGTAGTTATCGGTGAACTTGATCAGTGACAGTTGCTGTTCCCAGTCGGCACGTCATCACAGGTGGCACGATTCAGTTGCTCCATCGTCTGATTGGCCCGTTCGGTCTGTCCGACAGTCTCAGGGTGATAGGCGGCGGAGACCTGTAGGCGTGAAGTTACTGGTGAACTTCGTGTCGCGGTCAGAAATGATGGCGGATGGGATGCCGTGGAGTCAAACGACGGTTGTGATGAAGAGGCGGGCCGTTTCTTTGGCTGAGATGCTTTTCTTGCAAGACAAATATCGCATCCCGTCACAATACCCATCGTCACCTGCCATGCATGCTCGGACTGTGGAATCGGTTGCATCTGCCAGCTGGCTCTTGCTTTGATGACTTCAAAGTTTGGCATGTTCTGCACGAAACTGTTAGGATTGAGGACGGAGTCTAGGTGAATTCAGGAGCTATACTCAAAATATAAATCCGAAATTCTGGACAGAAAAGTTGTACCCACATTAAAGGTCCCCGATGAAACGCTAGCAGTTGGAAGTTTGCAAAACTCGGATATGTTGTAGCCCTTTATCTCAGCTATCGTTCCCAATTCAAACCACTTCAGTTAACGGAGTATTCGTGACGCACAGGGGGTATGCTGCAGGAGCAGAATTAACTCAATCTCAAAGTTCAATCATAGTCCAAGAATCTTATAAGGAATTGGAGGAACAAGAAAGAGGTTTGAAGGGAAGAGATGGATGAGAGGGAAGGTCCCAAGAGAGTCCCCAACCAAGTATAAGCACAAGATTCCCCCTCTATAGGAACCCCAACTTTGACCTTTGTCCCTTCCCAACCAATCCAACCAAGGTGGCCACACTTGCCGACCTAGCTTGGTTGTTCCCAACCAATTTGCAGCTGCTACAGTAGAGTAACGAATTTTCCCAACCCCCAACAGTCCCAAATCCATTTTGAGTCACCCCACAACTTCACTTTGTAACTGCCGCAATTGTAACGCAAGCTCATTAACCTTGAATCTTCATAGCTTTCAGGTTCTTGCTCCGATTGAAGCGATTCATGATCCCATGAAAAGCTCTTCTCAGGAAAAGTCATTTCAAATATTTGATCCAGCAGAATATAATCAAGCACATTCACAAAACTCCAGAACACATCACTCATAATTTCTTGCACACATTCTAACCATACACATACGAATCGAAACATGGGATGGGAGGGAGGCAGAATGTGATAGCATACGATGACATCACACAAAGATCTCCCCCTCTGGCTGCCAACCATCATCCACCATACCACATCTCAAGCATGCATTGTCAATGCACACTCATCCCAGCAAGCTTCATGCTCTTCCAATGATCAGCCTCCGCCAATCGCTTAGTAAAAGTGTCTGCTGCCTGCTGATGGGTCTTCACTGTCTCCAGCCGCACCTCCTTATCAACGAGTCTCCTCACCCAGTGCCACTTGTGTTGGTGCATATTCATTTGCACGTCATCCTGTCGTCTGTTCGCATCATTTCGTTTGCATGTGTTTTGTGTGCTACGTTGTTTGTATGGTTTGTTGGGTTTGCATGTCTTTGCATGTTCATCTTGTGCTTGTGCAGATGTGCTTGGATTGTGCATGACATCGAGCACATTCCAACGAGCCAAGAATTGTTGGAATCGGAGCACATATGAAGAAGTTACGAAGAAATGTTTGATGGATTTGTTACAACTCATTGGAAGTCCTTGTCAGCTGCTACACCAAAGTTGGAGAGCCCTATAACGAGGAGGAACCAGCATGTGTGGGACTTTTATCCCCACCTTGCAGCTGCAGCATTTGGGGTTTGGAGGCCAACCTGGCACAGTGTGAATTTTGTCTTGCCAGGCTGGCTGAACCTGAGGATGGGGAGTCAAAACTTTGACTCTTGTCATGTTCTTGACCATGGGCCTCCAGGGTCCTTCTCTTTCATCCTTCTCTTCCTACCCCACCTTCCAACTGTGCTTCAATGCCTTTTCTATCATGCCTCTGATCTTGTAAGCTTCAATCATAGTGACTCTGAGGACTGTCAACTTCTCCTAGGGCAGATTACCCCCCAGTGCGCCAAACGCCATAGCTCACTCGTTCAGCTACGGAATCGAGTGATTCAACTTTCAGTGAAAAGCTGACACTGCCAGCTACAACATATCCGATTTTCAGATCGTTTCACCGATTGGAGTTTTGGATATAGCTATTCGAAGGTCGCGAGTTTTCTGGGCGTCATAACGAAGTGCTGCAGAAATTTCCAAGGAGCCATTGAATCTTCTGCTTATAGCCTTCTCTAACCAACAAGTGGTATCAGAGCCTATTATCACGCATTTGGGACCTAAAATACGATGGGAGATAAAGAGGACTCTGGTGGAGGTGATACTTCAGTCCAAGGAGGCAGCTCAACCCAAGATTCTGGCATTGCAGCGCAAAGGGGAGCGCGTACAAGCCAGGGGTCACTGCTTAAGGAGGTGCTGAAGAACTTCACCATTGAGAAGTTCTCTGGAGATGGCTATGATGATTGGGCATGGAAGATGCAGCTCTACTTTCGACAAATTGGCCTCTTGAAGCTCATGATTGGAATGGAGCCAAGGCCAAAGGAAATGGCAGAGCAAGCGGACTGGGATGAACGTTCATCTGCTGGGTATTATCTACTGTCACAAAGCTTGGAGCTGAACCAGAGGCATCACATCATGCATCTGCTACCGGAAATTGATTGTGGGCCCAAGGCATGGGCAGTGCTCAAGGACCTGCACGCTCCGACATCGGTTGCCGCTTCTCTCATGCTGGATCGGGAGCTGTGCATGCTGCGGTTGAGCGAGAATGAACCTGTGCAGCCCGTACTGGACAAGATGAGGGAACTCTACGCGAAATTGGCGATCGCAGGCATCACGTACCCAGAGCAGACAAAGTGTCTCAAGATGCTCAGCCTGCTGCCGGAGTCTTGGCTGCAATTTATAAGCGGACTCAGCTTGCCACAAAACCAAAGTCAATGGACATTGGAGTGGATTCGCACCAAGATTCTGGAAGAAGATTTTCGTCGCTATACACTGCGCGGAGGTGATGACAGCACCAGCGGCTATGCCATGCAAGGGACATGGAGGGATCGAGGGCGTGGCAATCGCGGTCGCTCTTACCACAGCCAAGGTGGTCGCGGGACTTGGAACCAGCGGGGGCGTGGTGGCGCTGGTGCAAGAGGAAGAGGTGGTCACTCCAACAATGACAACAGTGAACCACGCTTGAGGAGAGAGTGCTGGTATTGCAAGGAAGAAGGGCATCCATGGTTTCGCTGCCCTACCAAGCCCGACTGGTGGACCCCTTGGAACCAATCGCAGAAGGGGAATGGAGGAAAGCAACCACATGGAGGTGCCAACATGGTAGCTGATCCTGCTGAAGAAACCTCCAAGGATGACAGAGGAATGGGAAATGAGGAGAGGAATGCTGGACAGTTCTACCATGTGTGTGACAAAGATGACAGTGGCACAGCTGTTGCAAGGGCTGGAGAGGAATTGCACCCGCTTGACATGTGGGTCATGGACTCTGGTGCTGCATGGACAATGACACCACGCAAGGACTTGCTGGATGCTGTGCGAGCGCCTCCAATCTCTGAAGTGCGCTCAGCATCCGGACATGCAGTGAAGGTCGCTGGAGTTGGTCGAGCTGCATTCAGAGCACCTGATGGTGGACTGGTTGTGCTGAAGGACATGTTACTCGTACCGGGGCTGAAGGCCAATCTGATATCGCTGCGCAAGCTAGGCCAGGCCGGAGTCAGCACCACCACCAATGGATCCAAAACATTCAAGGGGCTGCGAGGAGATCGTGTGTTATGGGATTTACACGAAAGCAGAGATGTCTTCAGATCCATGTGGCAGATCCCTGCACTGATATGGGAATCAACAAAGAAGGAGTTGGGAGAAGTAAAGGCGGGATCTGGAGTCCAGGGGGAGTGTAATGCAGTTAGTGCTGCAGGAGTGACGGTTTCTGCAAGGTCGGGGGAGACTGATTGGGAAACCGCACACAGGCGTCTAGGGCATGTGGCTATGCCATTGCTGCAGCAACTGCATAAGGAAGAAGCAGTAAAGGGGCTCAAGCTTTCTGGGCAACCAAATGATACCAAGTGCGAGACATGTCTGCTGAGCAAGTTCACACGGTTCCCCTTTCACGGCGTAGCTGGGAAAAGCAAGGCAGCACTGGAACTGGTGCATATGGACCTCGTAGGACCTTTTCCATTCCGAGGAAGTAAGGGGGAAAGGTACTTCCTGACAATAGTTGATGACTGGAGTCGGCTGATGTGGGCATACCCGTTGAAGCAGAAGGATCATGCTGCCTCAACAATACGAGATGATTGGCTGCCGTTCGTCGAGCGACAATCTGGGCACCCATGCAAGAGCATCAGAACCGACCGAGGTGGAGAGTTTCTAGGAGGAGATCTGACTGCGTGGCTCAAGAAACAAGGCATTGAGCATCAGCTAACGACGTCCTATACCCCTCAGTCAAATGGCGTTGCTGAGAGGGCTAATAGGACCATCCTGGAAACTGCGCGAGCGCTGCTGATCGAATCAGGGCTGGGGAACTCCATGTGGCCTCATGCGGTGAGGCATGCTACTGTGGCAAGGAACCGCGTACTCACAAAGGTGGCTGATGATATGTGGGTGCCGCTGGAGAGGTGGCTTGGAAAGAAGCCTCCAGTGGACATGCTTCGAGTGTTCGGATGCATGGCAGTGGCGCATGTCCCTAAACCGTACAGGACAAAGCTTGGAGCATCTGCACTTTGGTGTGTGCACCTTGGGCTTGCGGCAGAGAGCAAGGGGTGGCTACTCTGGGAGCCCTCAAAGAATGTGCTGTTTGACAGTCGGGATGTCAAATTTGTGGAGAACATCATGTATGGCAAGTGGGAGAAGCAGCCGGAGGCAAGGGTCACCCAGCAGCTGGAAGAAATCACTATGCACTTCGATCTGTCCGAACCTGAGGACAGCGAAGTCACTGCGCCAACGGCAAGCGGTACTGATGAAGGAAGCAATGAGGATATTGCAGCTGATGCTGAAGTCAAGGATCCGGAGCAGCAGCAGCAAGAGGCTTCCAAAACACCAAGTCTGCCAAAGCGAAGGAAACAGATTGGTGGGGGGACAAAGGATTGGGTGAAGGTGAAAGAATGGGTAAATCCAACCATCTACCCTGCATGTACCAGAATGGCAACGAGAAAGCTGCTGAGCTCCACAAGTGGAGGAGCCACAACTGAGCAGCAGGAACAGGCTCAAGGCGAAGATGCAGTGCTGTTCTTGGGTGATGACCAAGAGTCAGATGACGAGGAGCCTGCATACTGCTTTTACGCACCAATACAACCTCCGAGCATGGATCATGCGCTAGCCGGGCCTCAACGGGGGAAGTGGCTCGTTTCAAGAGATGCAGAGTACAACAGCCAGATGGAGAATCACACGTGGGACCTGGTGTACTTGCCAAATGGGAAGAAGGCAATACAGTGCAAGTGGCTGGCAAAAATCAAGACGGATGAGAAAGGAGAGCCATCAGTTTACAAGAGCAGGCTGGTGGCAAAGGGGTTTCAGCAGAAAGAGAAGGAAGATTACAAAGAAGTGTTTTCCCCAACTGCTAAGTCTCCAACGCTACGTGTGCTGCTGGCGGTAGCTGCTGTGCGCAAATGGAAGGTGAAGCAGATGGACATCGTAACCGCTTTTCTGTACGGCATTGTGGAAGAGGAGGTGTACATGGTTCAACCACCTGGCTATGAGGATGGAACCGGTCGTGTCTGCAAACTTAACAAGGCCATCTATGGCTTGAAGCAGGCCCCGAGATGCTGGTACAACAGGCTGGCCAGTGCACTGGAAGGGATTGGATTCCGTGCGAGTGCATGCGACGAGAGCCTATTCCTGATGGGAGAGGGGGAGTCACTTGTGCTTCTGCTGGTGTACGTGGATGACATCCTGCTCTTCAGCAGCAGTGACAAGGAGATTGATGGGGTGCAGCAGAAGCTCACAGAGCAGTTCAAGTGCAAGTCACTTGGAGAGGCAAGGTACTACCTGGGAATGCACATTGAGCGGGATACTGAACGTGGCTGGCTCAAACTGCATCAGGGACAGTACATCAACACCTTGGCTGAGAAGTACTCTCTGCAGGAAGAACGGGAAGTGGTCACACCTTTGCCTTCCGAGTTCAAACTCATAAAGGCAGCTGAAGGAGAAGGAGTTGAGAGTGAAGACCAGAGGCAATTCCAATCCATGGTCGGGAGCCTACTCTACGCTGCTGTGCATACTCGGCCTGACATCAGCTTTGCTGTGGGACAGCTGGCTCGAGTAGTGCAAAATCCAACAGAAGAGCAGTGTGGTGCAGCGGAGAGAGTGGTGCGCTACCTCAAGTCATACCCTACAGTGGGAGTACAGTATTCAGCCTCTGCTCAACTCAGTCAAAAAGGAGTTGAAGTCCTCAAAGAGAATGGGGAGCAGCTCGGAGAAGGAAAGGTGTTCCTTTCCTGTTTTGCTGATGCCACGTGGGCCGAATGAACCGGGTGGCCGAATGCCAGGATCCCATCCCCCCTCGGTTATTTGACCCCCCCGCCGGTTCATTTGACCCCAAGGGCGGATTTGAACCGGCCCATGGTTTCATCCGACCCAAGAGCCCATTCCCCCTCCGTAATTCGACCCCCCAGCCGGTTCATTCGACCCCAAGGGCGGATTTGAACCGGCCCATGGGTTCATCCAATTCAAGAGCCCATCCCCGCTCGGCCATTCTGACCCCCCCAGCCGGTTCATTTGACCCCAAGGGCGGATTTGAACCGGCCCATGGGCTCATCCAACCCTTGGGCCCATCCCCCCTCGGTTTTTTTACCCCCCACCCGGTCCATTGGACCCCTAGGGCGGATTTGAACCGGCCCATGGGCTCATCCAACCCAAGATCCCATCCCCCCTCGGTTATTTGACCCCCCAGCCGGTCCATTGGACCCCAGGGGCGGATTTGAACCGGCCCATGGGTTCATCCAACCCAGGAGGATCCCATCCCCCCTCGGTTATTTGACCCCCCACCCGGTTCATTCGACCCCAAGGCAGGAACCGGGCAAACCCCAAGGGTTCGATCGACTCGGATCCGGATCGATTCCATCCGAATCGGTTCGATCGAACCGGATCCGGATGGGTTCGATCGAACCGGATCCGGATGGGTTCGATCGATCCGGATCCGGATGGGTTCGATAAGGATGGGTTCGATCGACTCGGATCCGGATGGGTTCGATACGAATGGGTTCGATCGACTCGGATCCGGATTGGTTCGATCGACTCGGATCCGGATCGATTCCATCCGAATGGGTTCGATCGAACCGGATCCGGATGGGTTCGATCGATCCGCACCCGGGTGGGTTCGATCCAAATGGGTTCGACCGACTCGGATCCGGATCGATTCCATCCGAATCGGTTCGATCGAACCGGATCCGGATGGGTTCGATCCGGATCCGGATGGGTTCGATAAGGATGGGTTCGATCCGAATGGGTTCGATCGACTCGGATCCGGATGGGTTCGATCCGAATGGGTTCGATCGACTCGGATCCGGATTGGTTCGATCGACTCGGATCCGGATCGATTCCATCCGAATGGGTTCGATCGAACCGGATCCGGATGGGTTCGATCGATCCGGATCCGGATGGGTTCGATCGACTCGGATCCGGATGGGTTCGATCGGCTCGGATCCGGATGGGTTCGATCGATCCGGATCCGGATGGGCTTGGGTCCGAAAGGGTTCATTTGATCCGGATCCGGACGGATTCGATCGATCCGGACCCGGGTGGGTTCGATCCGAATGGGTTCGATCGACTCGGATCCGGATGGGCTCGATAGGGATGGGTTCTATCCGAATGGGTTCGATCGACTCGGATCCGGATGGGTTCGATCGATCCGGATCCGGATGGGTTCAATTGATCCAGATCCGGATGGGTTTGATCCACACGGGTTCGATCGATCCGGATCCGGATCGGCTCGATAAGGATGGGTTCGATCGACTCGGATCCGAATGGGTTCGATCGATCCAGATCCGGATGGGTTCCATCCGAATGGGTTCGATCAAACCCATCCGGGGTCCGATCCGGATGGATTCCATCACTTGGGTTCCGGGGACTTGATTGCCCCAAACGACGGTAACCCAACGTAATCCAGGTCATTGGTCTAGGAATACAGGAGGGAAGGGGTGCTCTACCTCTCCCCAACCCTTGGCACGGGCCATCGGATTGCCCCAAACGACGGTAACCCAACGTAATCCAGGTCATTGGCCTAAGAATACGGGGGGGAAGGGGTGCTCTACCTCTCCCCAACCCTTGGCACAAGCCATCCGATTGCCCCAAACGACGGTAACCCAACGTAATCCAGGTCATTGGCCTAAGAATACGGGGGGGGGGGAGGGGTGCTCCACCTCTCCCCAACCCTTGGCATGGGCCATCCGATTGCCCCAAACGACGGTAACCCAACGTAATCCAGGTCATTGGCCTAAGAATACGGGGGGGGGAGGGGTGCTCCACCTCTCCCCAACCCTTGGCACGGGCCATCGGATTGCCCCAAACGACGGTAACCCAACGTAATCCAGGTCATTGGCCTAAGAATACGGGGGGGGGGAGGGGTGCTCCACCTCTCCCCAACCCTTGGCATGGGCCATCCGATTGCCCCAAACGACGGTAACCCAACGTAATCCAGGTCATTGGCCTAAGAACACGGGGGGGGGGGAGGGGTGCTCCACCTCTCCCCAACCCTTGGCATGGGCCATCCGATTGCCCCAAACGATGGTAACCCAACGTAATCGGGGTCATTGGCCTAAGAATACAGGAGGGGAGGGGTGCTCCACCTCTCCCCAACCCTTGGCTCGGGGCATCCGGTTGCCCCAAACGACGGTAAGCCAACGTAATCCAGGTCATTGGCCTAAGAATGCCGGAGGGGAGGGGCTCCTTACCTCTCCCCAACCCCTGGCATGGTGGAACCGATTGCCCCAAACGACGGTAAGCCAACGTAATCGAGGTGGTTTTCCTAAGAATACTGCAGGGGAGGGGTGCTCTACCTCTCCCCGACCCCTGGCATGGGTCATACGGTTGCCCCAAATGACGGTAACCCAACGTAATCCGGGTCATTGGCCTAAGAATACCGGAGGGGAGGGGTGCTCTATCTTTCCCCAACCCTTGGCATGTGGGCATAGATTGCCCCAAACGACGGTAAGCCAACGTAATCCGGGTCACTGGCCTAAGAACAACGGAGGGGAGGAGTGCTCTACCTCTCCCCAACCCTTGCCACGGGGAAATCGATTGCCCCAAACGACGGTAAGCCAACGTAATCCAGGTCATTGGCCTAAGAATACTGGGCGGGAGGGGTGCTCCACCTCTCCCCAACCCCTGGCATCTGGGAATCGATTGCTCCAAACGACGGTAAGCCAGCGTAATCCGGGTGGTTGGCCTAAGAGAATCCGGGGGAAGGGGTGCTCCACCTCTCCCCGAACCTTTGCAAGGGTCACTCGGTTGCGCCAAACGACGGTAAGCCAACGTAATCCAGGTGGTTAGCCTAAGAAGGTTAGGGGGAAGTGGCTTTTCACCTCTTCTCACTAATCTTTGGGTAGGACGGTTGCTTGAAAAGTCGGTAAGCCAAGGTAATCCGAGGCCTTTCCGTAGTAATAATTCGGGGAGAGGAGAACTGGCCCTCAAACCACAAGCAAGGCGGATTACCTAGGTATGAAGTCGAGCTTGTCATGAGGTCCTATGAGGCACCGGCCCGGGCCACGGAGGGCGGCACTCTGTGATCCGGGGGGGAGCGTCCCGTGAGACGTGCGCATGGACTCTCTTCGGAGGGTTGGTGCGCACAGGCCCCAGCGGAGGGGGCGGGGAGCTCTCCAGGTGCGGAGGATCACCTGGGAAAATGGGGAGAGGAGGAACTGGCTCTCGAACCACAAGCAAGGCGGATTACCTAGGTATGAAGTCTAAGCTTGTCATGAGACCCTATGAGGCACCGGCCCGGAACACGGAGGGTGGCACTCTGTGATCCAGGGGGGAGCATCCCGTGAGACGTGCGCATGGACTCTCTTCGGAGGGTTGGTGTGCACAGACCCCAGCGGAGGGGGCGGGGAGCTTTCCAGGTGCGGAGGATCACCTGGAAAAATGGGGAGAGGAGGAACTGGCTCTCGAACCACAAGCAAGGCGGATTATCTAGGTATGAAGTCGAGCTTGTCATGAGGTCCTATGAGGCATCGGCCCGGGCCACAGAGGGCGGCACTCTGTGATCCGGAGGGGAGCGTCCTGTGAGACGTGCGCATGGACTCTCCTCGGAGGGTTGGTGTGCACAGACCCCAGCGGAGGGGGCGGTAAGCTCTCCAGGTGCGGAGGATCGCCTGGTAAAATGGGGAGAGGAGGAACTGGCCCTCGAACCACAAGCAAGGTGGAATACCCAAGGAGGAAGGTTACTCTTTGGGTCCGCTCGGTCCCTACAAACTTCTTGACACTGGTAATATGCGGTCGGTTTCGTATCCCAATCCGCCTATGGCTAGGTGGCCCCCCCTCGTTGCGAGGCGGCGTCATTGACCCATGGGTTGGGGAGGGTAGGATTCAGGCTTATTGGAACCAGGGAAAAAGAGGAGAACCCAATCGGATCACTCCTCGCAAGGGGTCTGAACCAACTGGGTGCTCAACCACTGCCATAAAGAAGTTGATGTCGGTGCAACTTGCAAAACTCATATGCAGTGGTTGAGACGGTCGACTCTTTTTCAGGGGGAAAGCTCGAAGCTCACTTGAGGCCAAAAACCTGGAATGAGACCCATGTTGACTGTGGACGATCTCGGTCGGACGCAGGACGATGCACGGGTACCTGAACATGTTAGTAGGTCAAGGACGGTGTGTCCTAGAGTTTTCTTAACGTGGAATGACAATCGGAAGCATGGTGATGCCACGTGGGAGTTAATGCTTTCGTGGTGCATGGGAGAAATCGCCGGACTATTTCAGTTACGGTGGATGTCTCTAGCATCGTGTCTTTCCACTCACGATGAGATGGCTCGACCGCAATGTCGAGTCTGGGTTGGTAGTGCCTCTGGTTTGAGTGTCAGACTTCGGTTTGTCGCACTCGGTAGATGTAACCCAACTCGTATCTTATCGTGGCTGCAATGGGATGGCTCGGTGGCAACGCCGGGTTCTGTGCTGGTTGTTTCTCTGGTTTGAGCGTGAGGCCTCGGTCTGTAGCGCTCGGTAGAGAAACACAGCCCACTCACATCTCGTTGTGGAGGTTGAGGAAGCCCGTCTCCTTAGCCACTCGGATACGTGAAAGGCATCGCTTGCTCAAACTGGAAGCCAGTGTGTGGCATGTTAAAGTCCCGTACCCATAATCTAATAAACGAGCACCACACAAAAAAGGGGAAGGCGCTAAGAGTATGGAAAAAGGGTTGATGTTGCCCTTGGTCATGCCCCTAAAAGACAAGATGGAGCCCAAGTCGGGTACCCTGGGCCTAGCTGGCGGATACTGGGACACTGGTGGAACGGAGTAAA